CCCCCTCATCCCCTTTTCTTCCGCTTCCCTCCCCCACCCATTCTCGAAATGGCACATCCACCACTCCTTCGTATATCACCTCCTTGCGTAACTATGGGCGCTTCACCCCTCTTCCCAAAAAGCAAGCTCAAGGGTTTGGCGAATATATGCACAGTCAACATGATTCTGCATACGCTTCTTTTATCTTACCAGGAAATACCCGGTAATGGCAGGAGAGACATGGGAAAGGGAGTAAAAGGAGAGAAAGAAAAAGGAGTAATCGGGTATTTGCATCCAACCTGTACAACTTACCCTTTTCTGAGCAAGGCCAAAAACCCAACACATCCCTTCCCTGAAGACTGCACATTGCTTGTTCCACCATATGCAGAACGAAAGGGCCCTCGTGGGGGAACAGGACCCCAGTGATAGAATATGTTTCCGGGAAACATCCTAAGAAATTGGGGGTCCCCCATGTTACTAGACATCATGTACCACCACCCCTGCCAGAGAGCTATCGTAAATCCCAAAAGAGCATCATGTACGCTCATCGGGTTCGGTGTTATCGCAGACGTGGGTTCCCCGGGCCCCGGTCGTCGTCTCTCCCTTTGCTGACGGGATCCTTCCGATATCCGAAGATCGTCCCAACATGGCCGTCTTCCATGAGGCACCGGGCCTTCGGGAACCAGAAGAGAAATATGGACGGCGATATTTTCATGGAGATGTTGTGCCTGAGAAGAAGAGGTCCGGGTGGGTGCAGCGCGTCTGGCTCTTCTGGGAACTGTAGAGTTTGACCGGTCCCTGAGCTAGCGAGCTGTGCAGGGGCAATATCTGCAAGATGGGTAAGAGACAAGCGCGGCAAAGGCAAAGCCAACACATGAGAGCAGTCAATGGGCAAGGGATGCTTGTTAAAAATAACACCCTGCAGAAGTCGCTGGTCTTTTTGTCGTCATCATCAAATCCACCACTCAAAATCTCGTGATAGTTATAAGAGCATGTGACGGGCCAGCCCAAGAAATAGTGTGCTTGCCGACATGTGCGCCGTTGGGATTTCTCGCATTCCGAAAGGAGGGGAGGGAAGCGTTGACGATCAAGCTGACAGGCACTACTGCAAAGGCAAGAAGGCTTCTCCTCTAATGCCTTGGTTTCCCCAGGAAGAAGCAAGCAGGCGGCGTCGAGATGCCATTCCGTGATGTGGCTTGCCTGGAGAAGCTTCTCTCGACAATGTTCCCGCAACTGACACATCAGCTGTACCAGCGAGGGTATTTTCCGCGATTCTATATGCATGTATTCGATAATCGCAAGTGCTGGTTTTGAGCCTATTGGTGCCTCCTATGCAGTCACCCGAGTCACTGAGGACAACCCATGACAAAGGTCACCGCCAGATGCCTAATCAAGAATGACACTGGCCTGTGCTTTCCGTATTTTTAATATTGCAAAGACCTGGGAAAACGCCATAATAAAGCTTGTGACACGCTGATTGTTCGAAGGCATCGCCGATTCTGATGTTGATCTCCATCCGCCTGAGCCACGCTGGACAGCGGCGGCCAGGGCCCTAAGGCATGCATCTGCCGTGACCTCGAGGAACCAAGTAAGTAATCCCTGAAGACGTAGTAGTGATCGGCAGCGTACGCAGGAAGCCTCGGTCGGCTGGCTGCCGGATGGCAGAGGTATCTGGATGGGAATCTCCAGAGTCGGCACTGAATTTGGGATGCTCGTACCCTGATCTCCAGCCTTCCCGCTCTTTCACCGCAACGTTTCAGCCGGCTGATCGTCATAGGGGCCATTTCTCCAGAGTAGGCGGTGATGCTGCTCCGATCCCGGCAATCTCTATGTCCAGATCTATAAGACGGAGGGCGTACAGTCAGTCCAGAGATGAGCTCAGCTGAACAAGATGAGAATAACCACTCCGAGACGTCGATCCGTATTCCACCATGTTGAGATATCTCGGAATCCGGAACAAATCGTCTCTGGTGGCTTGTTGTTCTGGGGTTCAATGATGTGCGGCACAATAGACTGCCGAAGACGCGATTCCACTGGTGCCAAGGTGTTTTGTGTTGATCGGATAACAGGGAAATTGACGCTTGAGGTGTTGAAGAAGCACACGGGCTTCCGTCTGGAGTTTCGGCAGGCAGGTCCTGTCTCTCGTCGGCCCGCCTGCATTTCCGACGGGAGGTCCTCAGTGGTTGTTGGGTGTTTACCTTCTTCAAACGGGCGCCACGTCAACCGCCAGGGCAGAAAGCTGGGACAATGGAGGGTGGATCGCCGTTAAAAGCGTCCTTGGTAGGCCAAACATCACAATCAGGAGATTTGTCCATGTTCCAGATGGGAGTTCCATATGCGTGGGTCTGGTTTCCTGCCCTCGGGGGAGGGGGGCTTGTTGTCGAAGATGGCGATCAGCAACTGCTTGCACAACCTGTGTCGAATGTTCCAAAAACGGCCAGTCAGCGGTCAAGTTGTCGACTGCGCATTAGGGCCGATTGATGTGTCTGCTGACAGGCCTCGCGAGAGCGGTTGCGGGCTTTGACAAGCTTCTCACCACCGTTGCGAGATGCGGCAGAGAAAGGAGGTCGAAAATCCGCCGCATCCGTGATCCGATGCTCTGTGTCTTGGAGCATCCGCGGCGACGAACGATCGGCAGATGGGAGCCCAGCAGACGGAGAGGGCACGGACTTGGTCTTGATGATGATGGTTCCCTCTGCTCGGAAAGCGGGTTGTTGATGATATTGTCTGTGCTCCGTTGCTTGTTCTCAGGTCATGTATATGCTTACCTTAGGTAAGCAACCCTTGGCATCACCTCGAATCTCCACAGTTCACACTAGCGGATCGCAATGGAGACCAAATTCTCCGAGCCGGCAAGCTGTTCGACTCCATCACCTTGACCACCTCTCTAGGGCATTTGCCTGCAACAGAGGATTGTTATGTTTCACGATGATGCCCTTCTGCACGAGTCCTCGTCAGCCCAAGCAGCGGTGGCAACTCTCCTTCTTCCAGCTCCGTCACCTCACCTCACCTCACCTCACCGCCAACAAGCCAGCCAGCCCCAGCTGGACTGGAACCGAGCCGGCCAGGGACGGCGACCTGGGACCATGGAAAAGACAGGACAGATATTTTCTGCCTCTGGGAACCATCTGTGCGCAGATGTCTCTCGTCCAATGGAGCGCAGAAGAAAACCAACAATCTCTCGCTCGAGTCCTTTGGATTTGATTGGCTGATCTCTCCTTGGTTACGAGCCAGTCACGAACTACAACGCAGTTCGGAACAGTGACTTTGTCTTCCGTATCGGTCGGTAGGCTGGGGAAGTCAACCAAGGTAGCCTCCGGACTAACGCAGTAACTGTGGCACCACCACCACCACTACCACCCCATTGTCGAGCATCCTTTGTCGTTCCTGGAACCACACTAACAGCCGTTTTCTAGAATAGCGCCGTTAACCTGTTGGCTTAAGAGTCAAACGTCGACCAACTGCCAATAGCCCAGCTGCCGATTGCGTGCTGGTCCCTGGGAATCAGGGGAGGAGGAGAAGAAGACGAGATTTACTTTTCCTTTCGCGCTACCATGAGCTCGAGACCCTGTAACTGTCTGCCTGCCTTGCAGGTGCGCGCTCTATTTGCAGGATGCATGCTACCTGCATCGTATTTTCCGTGGCACTCCAGCAAGCCCAGTGCAACTTCGGAGCATGCCCACAAGGTCAACCTCGACTATGCCCCAGTCCCGTCTGGTCTTTTTCGCTACCTCCCTCGATTCCAGGCCTTGGCTGGACGCAGATACAAGGTACGACACCCAGCAAGCTCACCGTGTTGACATTGCCCCCACTCACACCCCGCTTATGCATTCACACACTTGCATATAGAATATGCGAGGCTCAAGCCGCGGGAAGAAGAGGGTGTGGGACCAGGTAGGTAGTTCCTCAGCACTCGAGTGGCCACTGCGTCATACACCTAGCTTCACATCTCTCCCACACAAGCTCCTTCACCCCGGCAAGCCTCTTGCGCCTCTCCTGTTTGTTAGTATCCGTTGTTGCTTGGAGCTGGGAACAGAGGAGGGGCCTGTCTTGCAAGGTTCCGTCCCGAGCGAGTTGTGCCGTCTTTCTTCATCTCATTTTGCATCAAGGACGGCATCCAGCTCACGATGTCCAGTTGTCGGATCTATACACCGGCACAACCATCAGATCGCGCAGGTCGTCCATATTCCGTGTTTGGTGGCCCCATGGCTTCGAATGAGACGAAAGCCAGAGAGCTCGAGGGCCTCATATGATTCTGTCCATGCTAACCTGGCCGTTCACCAGCGCCACTGGCGCGTGCCCTGTATGAGAACGGTTCAGTCATGTAGCAACGAGTATGGCCTGCCTGTCCCTGTCCCATGACTTCAGGGACCCTTTCTCCTTCCCGCTTCCTTGTCAATCACCAGGAGAAAAGAATGCTGCCCTACCACAGATATTCCACCGAGCAGGTCTCACACAACTCGTCGCTCAAGTGGGTCGTGTCTCTAAAATATCGTCCGGGCATTAGCGCGGTGGACGGCTTCTTTTCTTTTAACCGGGCCTCCTCGAGCCCCTGGGCATTTTCTTTTTAAGCGTCAAAGCTACTTGGTCCTCCTGCCCTCGCTTCTCTAAACTTAATTGTCTCCCCCTCTCAAACGCGTTTGCTCCGTCCAAGGTCAGCTTACCGCTCACTCCCGCTGCTGGATCCGTCCGAAAAGGGCTTGGGTAATGGCTGTGGCATCTTACGTCTCCTCCTCGTGGGCTCTCAAGACCTGATCAACCCTTCCGCCCGCCTTATCATTCCGAGTTACTGCCCCCATAACACCTTACGTAGTTCTTCCTGCAGCCTCCTCGAGCCGCCAAACGTTATATTATACTCTCTCCCCACCTCCCTCGCACCCTTCACACACCCCTTGTTCTTCAAACTCGTCTTATTATCACCCTGACCCCTCCGACTGTCACCTCGCCTCTACTTCGCAACACACTTTCAGCTGTTTATACTCCATCTCACTGCAATCTTACAACACATCACCCTTTTCAACATGGCTTCCTCAAAGCCCCGTCAACCTCGTCTACGCGCCTCATGTGATGGCTGCTTTCATGCCAAGGTCAAGTGCTCCAAGGCAAGGCCAATATGTTCTCGCTGTCTAGCTTGTGGGATCGAATGCCGGTACTCCCCATCTAGCAGGGCCGGGAAACCAAAATCCGATGGCAGCTCCAACATACAGTCGACAACGCCCACTGATATGACGGGAATGACCTCGCCAGTATCTGACGACAAGGGCATGCTGTACTCGGTCCACCAGACAGCGCACCCACTATACAAGCTGGAAACTGGATGGCACACACCTCCCACCAGCGTGGATGGAAGCATGAGCCGAACGCATTCCATGTCTGGGTTGGCTATGCTGGGTATGGAGACAGGTTCGACCACCCACGTGGATCCGACAATGGCCACCGACATCTACTCGACAGGCATGCCTTGGACCCCACCCAACGACATGTCTTCCCAGTTTGTTGACTCCCCAGCCATGGCAGCCCAGCTCAACCACGGGCGCTCCCATTCGTACGACTTTGCCATGTCGGCAGCCATGCCGCCTTGGACCGATCCAACTGCCGCAGACATGTACACATACGGCCAAACACAGATCCCGACGCCTGGAAGCATGTCAGCTACCTATTTCCCCAGCCCTACCGCGACGCCCCAGCTGAGGTCAACACCAAGGACAAAGTCCTCGTCGAGCTCGGCAAGCTCTGGGGGCTCCTGCACATGCTTTACCGCTTGTTTGCAGTCGTTACAAGCACTTCACAATGCCTCCAGCCCTGGAGCGCCACCCTTCGACCTCGTGCTGTCCTTGAACCGCAAAGCAGTGGAGGGATGTGCCTCGATGCTCAGTTGCCCACGATGCATGAGCAGGTCAGGAACACATACGGCAGCGATGCTGCTCGCGACCGTCATTGGCAAGATCACCTCCTTCTATAAGAACGCATCCCACACCTATTTTGAGAACGGCAGTATCCCAGCGGCGACGTCACCAAATGCGCTGGGAGTTAGCCTGGGCGGATACACGCTTATGGGGGAAGAGGGAAGATGGCTCGAGCTGGAGATCCTGGCGCGTGAGCTACGAAAGCTGGAAGAGGTGTATGCTCAGTTTCGTGAGGTCTGTGCAGATCTATCTGAAGACCCCGAAGTCAGCCGGGCCATGATTGGATACCTCGGGCACAACCTCGGGTCCACCCTCGAAGTCATACACCACAGGAAAGGCGACATTGCCTACACATAGCCGTCCGCCCCGATGCAACGACAACGGTCCATTGCATCTGCAGCTCCCCTCTCCCATCAAACACCAACTGTATTACGGAGTTCCGAAGGACTTTTTCTTCCTGGGTCTCAATTTCTTCTCGCTCTTGTCGTTCCTTTTTCCGATCGGGTCGCTACCGCAGCGTCGGGGATTTGATGACCGTTGATGACCAGCTCAGAGAGATAATCGTTATTGTCTATTTTCTTTTTCTGTCGTTGATTGGTGGGAGGTCCCTTAGTCGGCCTACATCAGGAGAGGATGAGGTGACTGTCTCGCTCACAGTCCCCAGTCGTATATGGCCCTGGTTGGGTGCATTTGGCGAAATCAAGGCGTTTGTGGGGGGATTTTCAATGCGTCTGGTGTTTGGGGGTTGTCGTTATTCTGGGAGAAATGGGCCTGTCCTCACGGTTGACCGTTGAGGCCCAACAAAAGAGTTGGAACAGGTCTTGGCTAATATGCCTAACGGATGCTTTCAGGTTTCAAGTCTACACGATGGGTGGCGGTGTCTTCGACTGTTCCTTGGCTGTAATGCCACATGACTTGGGAACATTTGACCTGGATATTTGTTTTGGTATCAACACAGTTAGAGGGTTGGCTTGATTTGGTGTTTTAGCGTTTTGTTTTGCCGGCCCTCCTGTACTGTATCCTAGCTATGCAACATTTAGAAAGAGAATCAAAAAGAGTAAAGACAGAATGCCAAGAATCCTGGTGGTACAACCTCTCGAGCCATTTCACTGCACAGTGTGTCCCAGTTGCTTGGTTGGCCGTTTTGGATGGGGTTCTCCGGGACGATGATTCAGCTGGAAGTTTCTTGGATACGATACAGAGTGAGTTCAGCACAGAGCCCGCAGATGGGCCCGGGACTGGAACGAAGCGGCATTACAGATGTCACCATTTCACAGCCAAGAAGGAAGAGCATCCACTGGGGAGTGGGTGGCAAAGCCCGAGCTTACCAGTGATGTATTGCCTAACACTGGCTGGGCACAAGATTTAAATGATATAATTTTCCCCCTTTTCTTTTCGCTGCCCACAGATTATGACAGACGATTTTGAAGAGTTTAGGCTCATTCACATCCCAGAAGCCACAAAGGTGCTAGTAATTCCAGAATGGCAGATGAAAGAAACGGCGAGGTCTAAATAAAGTAGCCCAGGTTGGGTACGAATATATGATCGACTGCATAATAAAGACCATATCAACCGGGGTGCAGTGATAAATCCCTTGCCAAGACCTTGACATGAGAATTCCACCCCACGAACCCAGAGCTCACAACACTCATCATGCCGTATGAAACCAACATAAACGAGGGCCCCAACGGGTTGCAGTGGCCGTCGAGACTGTGGACTGATGGTGATATGACCCGAGGCAGCAACGGTTAAAAGATGCAGCTGTGTATCAGAGTCGTTTTCTTGGGAGGCTAGCTTACTGCTTGTCGAGATTTATTTGCATATTCAATTTGTTCCCTCCTACCTAAGCTTCCGGAGTTACCACCACAGCGCTGGAGATAAAACGGCTTCCCCGCCCTCTTCACATAGTTGATCGCCACTGTCAAGAATGATGTGCACTACTGAGAGAATATCAAGAAAACACTCTGCAAATTCCAAGATAGCTTAGCACCTTGCCATGGAGATCAACGCTTTGTCGATGGTTCAACGCTTCCCGATCCAGCACTGAACAGCAACAGGACTCACCACTGGAAGTTGGTGCCAGGGCAGGGCCGATGCCCCTTCAGACCTAGGCTGGGATACCCTGCTAGCTCTGCCTTCCCGATTAGGAACTCGTACATGCCTTCTGGCCAATAGCATTGCTCAGGGCAGCGCACGGTCCAGGTGGGCCAGGGTCCCCTCACCCACTTGATCCAGACCCCCACTGTGCCTGGGTCCAACCCGCCTTGTCCCGCACACTATTTTCCTTGACTTCAAGCAACAAAAGCTGTCTGTTTTCTAGGCAAAAGAGCAGTCCCTCATCTCTCCCTGCCGTCCCCCGCTTAAAAGAATGTTTTAAGCAATCCGCTTCTTCCGCCCGCCCCCACAAGCAATAACTGACTTACATCTCTCGCACGAGACTCGGCCTGCGCAGGAGCAAGCAATTAAAGACGACTGATGTTCTATTCTAGGAAACCATCCCCATCCCATCCGTCTTCCCGGGCAATGGGAATTGGCCACAGAAGTTAATTATTAGAGTGTGCACACGGGAGACAACAACACGCGGGGGAAAGTTCCCTGCCTCGGGAATTCATCAACTCCCTAGCGAGCATCGCCCTCTTCACCAAGGCATTCTCAACCTCCCGCGGACGGGTCGCAACGCGGTCCGTTCACCAGCCGGCCATCACCGTTTTCGTTAACGACATCACCTTGGGGTTGTGCATGGACCACCTTAACCACCCCAACCACACTACTCCTGCGGCACGAGAAGGCCACCTCAAGGTAGCCCTTTACGCATCCTGGTGTAACCCCGTGGTTCCGAACACGCATTCTATTGCTAACGGCCCGCGTTAGAGTTCCGCCTCTGCGCTCTTCTATCAATTAAATTACGCTAACGGATGCCCCAGCGAGTTCAGATCTGCTCATGGCTCGGCTACTTGCGCCGGGTGGCCTTTCCGCCATTCCAACATTCCACCATGGCTTCGAAGCCACGTTTTTCACCACTTGTCACATCGGCCTGTCCAACTTGTGGCTGGATTCCTCGAATTCACTACACGCTCACAACCCCGCACCCATTACCACTGATCATGAACAGTTAGCTATCTTTCAAGACGCCATATGCCGTGGTTGCGCTCAAACGATGCGGACAGGGTTGGATTGACCCACTCCCCGTATGCTAACATGACTTGATAAATGTCATCACGCTATCACTCACACTCTTCAGTGCGAAGCGGCTTAGCTTCTCGGGTGGCGGGCGGCCGCTTCCTTAACTGCCTCTTTTCGAATTATGTAGCACAAAGCCACCATCGCTGGCCATTCGTCTCGACATTATCACCAAAGTGACTCAAGGCCTTGGATCAGGTGTCGCGTTGAGACGTATGAAGCAACTCCACCCTTCTCGCAACCCAGCCCTGTTTGGGACATTCCTCTTCGATTGCCGGGTTCCAGGCCAGCAAACAGACCTCATCGCGGTATGTTAATGACCTTGCCTGATATGCAGGGTTTTGTGGAGGCAAATGAGAAGGGAAACCTAGAGCTGATTGACAGATAGACAAGAGATGCTGTAGCACACTCACCAAGACCTATCGCCGCCAGCAACAGGCGTATCGCATCGTACGTATATGTCATCACGACCCGGATTATGGACAGATTTGGAACAGACGCAGTACACTACATACCTAACAGCCAACCAAGAACACACACACACACATACACATTTGGCCGGTCCCGAGTATCGTGGGCGCGCCTCTCTTTGAGACTGTTGGACGGCATGCGAGGGCAAGAACCCTGATCTGTATCTCTCAGCCGCGTCGGTCGGCTATCATGCAGCCCTCTTCTTGTTGGAATATGTCGATCTCGACCCTTTTCGACGCATCTGCACTGCGCCCGGTTCGGTAGGAAAGCCGATGCTGCTGCTTCACACACACTCGCCTGTCTTTTTTGGGAGACTGACGCCTTCGGGCAAACAGCCGCGTGAAGCACAGAGGTTCTATCCAGGTCTGGATGTTGTTGATAGGTTCAGCTTTCACCAGGGCCAAAGACCCCACCCACGTATCCGCCGTTTCGAATCCTTTTGGAGTGGTCTGGTGGCGCTTTTCTTCCAGGGAAGGCTTCTCGGGACCGAAGTGTATGCTTGTATGTGCAGCCGGTCAAGAGCAAGAAAGGGTCTCGTCACTTGCTTGGAGTGGTTTTCAAGATATCATGATACAGAAACATTGGGAGCAGCCCCAAACCATGATGTCGGAATATCAGACCACTGCAGCTGCAGTAAGGCAATTCTTTTTTAGAACCAACCACAACCGAGACTCATACAGCAATTGCAGTAGCTGTCCTACCTTGCACGTTGAAAGGACCGAATGCAGCCATCGTATCTCGAGTCTCCTTGGATCTTGTCTTGATCCATGATGGAGAGACCATGTTACTTTCTACATAGGTATGGTGGAACTCAAACTCGAGCCAATGCCCAGCCTGTCTGCCCCATACGAATGCAAGCCATGTCTCAGAGCCAGGGAAGTCATATGGATTATTACTTGACCGCATACACCTCTCCAGTTGACGCACAGCCTCGTGTCTGAACTGACCTATAGGAGATTTTATTGACTGGCGAGTTTAGCTTCGGCATCTATCCGCCTCCGGGAACTAAGGCAAAGAAAGCCAAGGGGAGCACGGCCATTTAGTCAGTCGGTGAATGTTTTCCAACCTTCTCTCTATCCCAATTATCGATGTTGTCTGATGAACTGGGCGGATAGGCATAGAATGCTCGTGTCTTTTCCATCATACGACCTTGACTTGACCTGTTTGGGAGGCGGATGGTTTGCGATGTGGTTCAGTCACTCCACCACTCTGTGCTCTGGCTTGCATGAGACGGGGGTGACAAGGAGGAAATGATCTTCATCGTGACAGTTCTTTGGGGCTTGGGAGGCTTGAGGAATGGTGACGACCTGAACTTGGCAAAGTGAGGGGCAGACAGCCCCGAGAAGCCCAGCTCATTCACACGAGTGTGGTAATGAGGGGTCAACCCAGAGTCAGGCTTCCCAACCTCTTGTTCAGTGACCGGATGGATGAGTAAGCAGGCGAGTTTGAGCAAATAACCAAGCCGTGGATTTGGCCAGCGCATCAAGCATCCAAGCTCTCCATCTGGTTCGGATCCGAAGGCCCGGAGGGGGCAAACGCTACCAAAGCGCGCGGGAAGAGCGGGTTAAGGTGGTATTTTTTGTTGTTTCCTCCCATATTGCATGGTTCGCTTCTCGAACCGCACTTCCCCTTTTGTGTGTCCGTGTGTGAAGGGTAGAACAGCTTTTGGCTGTGGTCTTGCACACTTGTCCACCTTTCCCAATCTA